AGCCTAGCTATTGTTTACACCAGACTCACACCAAAATAAAGGGAAGAAAATAAAACAAAAAAAACTCATAAACGTCACCTTTTTTTTTCTCTTGAAATCTCCTAATTTACTTTGGTTCCTATCCTTCATATTGAAAGGATAGCATCATTGTTAATCAAAGGCTTTCAGTCAAATAAGGGAAAAAAAAAAAAAACTAATGTTATTGGATGCTGTGGGAAGGGGGGATCTTAAGATGATTTTCTGATGAAGTTATTTCACATACAACTTCATGAATATGTAGTTTTAAAAATTGCATAATTATCATTGTTTGTCAATGTTATAAAATTTGTACTTCATAAAAATTCTATAGAATATAAGGCACTGTTTACTTACTAAATTGAATAAAAATAAAAGAATCTTCACTTGTTGAAATTTTATAAAAATGTCATTTATAATAATGTTAACCTGAATTTATAAAATGATCATACAGTTAACCTAAGAAGTAAGTTTTGGAATATTTAATATAATTTACATAAGTTAAATGGAAAATTTTTTTCTGGGAAAAAAAGTGGTGACTAAATAAAGTCTATAAGGAAATTGCTGAAACCCCAAAGATTTTGAAACTAAAAGTATGTTTTACTAACCTTTAAGTTTCAGTATTTCAACGACAAGAGAATAAAATTCTTGGTAAAACATATCTTGCTATAATATTAGACACTTCTCCATCTTAGATTCTACGTCTCCCTGCTTCTTTATCTCTAATTTCTAAAAGATAAAAGCAAAACCCATGTTTATATCATGTGGGACATATTGATGATAAGGTTCAAGTACCATTCATAATTTATATCTTGTTGTCTATTGAATGACACAAGAGTTGCTGCTGCTGTTATTGTTTGAAATGTTCCTTCAAGAGTTAAATAAACTTTCCATAATGTCTTTAAATTCCTCACCCAAAAAGATTCTTTAAATTTTATGGATTTTAATTCTTTTAACTAATTTGCTTTTGAGTATTTTAAATTATGTTTTTATACTCTTGCTTGTCCTAATAACATTTTTTTTAAATAAAAAAAATTTGTTCTGGTGTGAGAATGGCTAGAAAAAAAATCCTTTTTATGAGAATGTATGTTTTTAATTTTTTAATGACTTTTCATAACTTCCACATTGGCTAATAAAACTATTTTCCATTGTTTTTCCCCCCTTCGCTTGCTGGGAATTCAACTTGGCTGTTTGGTAAGTACATTATCTCTTTTCCTTTAAATGACCGTCTCATAAGAACAGATGTGGGTCCCAAAATAGAAATTTGTCTAAATGCTTTTTTACAACAAACCCTGTACTTCATGGAAGAGAATTGTCATATTTAGGTTTCGTACAGATAAAAGTTCTAAATTTATGATTAGAATAGACAATAGGAATAATGTTGCTACAAGCCTCTTGTGAAAATTTAATTGAGCTTCTATAACACAGTATAACATGATTTTTGTCCTTGGTTGCAAAAGTTATTTCCTATTTGCTTATGCCTAAAAAGTATGATAAATGGCTAATATTTGCTTCAAACTTTGTTTTTGTGACCAGATAATATTTCTGAAATTTACCTGTTCGCCATTGAGAAAACTGAATGTGGACATTCTTATTCACGCAAACTAGGACCAAAACGACATATGATTCAAAAGTCACATTTATTTTTTTCTAGGATTACACAGACCACAAAAAAATTTTTTGGCGATTTATTCTTATACTGTAAATTACTTTCACAAATCGTCCCCCCAAATATAGTCCCCCATCATCTTATTGTTTATACGATCCTTGGTAGCAGCATTCAAAGTCCAGTATATCTGGGTGAAAGTATTTGCCTTGCATCTCTGAGTACACTCCTGTGTTCTCCTTGAACTTATCAAAATGAGCGTCAAGAATGGGAATTTTTAGGAACATCCTGCTGCCTATTTTCCCATAGTTCTTCACCAGGGTCTCTTCAACAAGCTTCACATAGTTTTCGGCCTTGTTATTCCCCAGGAAACCCTGAACCACTTTGACAAAGCTGTTCCATGCTGCTTTCTCTATCCTAGTGAGCTTCTTGCAGAATTCCTTGCAATCTATGGTGTCCCTGTTGTCCCAAAGGCAAAGATAACATGGAAACTTAGTAACGCCACTTTGGCGACCCATCAAAAAGGCCACTATTTTGAAGTTTCCAATAACCTAACCTTACTCTTCATATTTCAAGGCATCTAGCAAGACTTTGACACTGCTGTATTCCTCTTTGAGCTGCATCTAGTGAGCCAGGGGAAGAGACGGATAGATGTTTCCTGAATCAGCTCAAGGATGAGCTTTCGATGAAGAGGCACCGCTCACAGGCAATTCCAATTGCTTCAAACAGACTGGTAACATTGTAGCAGAAGCAAAGCCCTTCTTGACAGGTGAAAAAGCTTGAAGAACACTGGTGACACTTTCTCTGATCTGCGATTTGCAACAAATTCCACTGCTTAGTGTCCAGCCTACAAAAGCAAATTGTGAAGTGAATAATTGCCATTTCTTTTGCTTTCTACACAGAAGTAATTAAGAATTAACACTTACTGACCAAAGACAAAACAAAAAAAATGAAAATTTTCTTACACAGCGAAAAGTGAATATAAAAGAATTTTTTGTATTAACCTTTAAGTTTTATTTAGATATTTTTTCTTTTTATAAATCAACTCCAACATTTTTTAAATTAATTTTTACAAAAACTGTTTCCACTGCATTTTTTTTTTTTAATGCAACATCTACAGTCACCTGCATTTGATCAATTAATTACAAAAGCCCAAAGACCCAGATTCTAGAATTCTCTGAAAAATGCTGGTTTAGCTTTCTGTAAAGATGTTTTTGAAATCTGCTCCTTTATAGAAGACAAAAGTATTCCGGTTAACCTTGATTGCTTTTTTTATTCCATTAAAATCTCTTTATTTGAACCTTTTAAAGAAATTCTCAAAAACTTCTAATTAATAAAAAAAAAAAAAAAAGAACCTGAAATGCTATTTAATGTACTTATATCTGCAATTATGAAAAATTGCCTTTTTTTTTCTTTTTTTTTCCAAACATTTGGGAAAATGGGTCGCATAGAAATGTAATTTTATGGAATTGTTGAAAAAGTTGATTGACTAAAACTTTGTTGATATACACAGGAACAATAAACATGTGTGCTTGTATTTAATGCATATAGAATTGTATCTTAATGATTATAACTTGAGCAGCACAGTCAACTGGGATGTCTGACCAAGAAAGAATGTCTTCCTAAATGTCATCATTTAGTATTATAGTCATCAAAAAAAAAATTGCTGAGCTTGATAGGGTAAAATCTTTAAAACAGCTGGTTGTAATGGAGGAGGATGTCTTTCATTTTATTGCTTTAATATTTTGCTCTTCTATTTCCAAGATCCAAAAAGTTTTCAAAAAAAAAATAATGTAGTGAAATTCAGTTTTATAAAACCTAAATTTAGAATAGAGATTTTAGTGAGTGACTGCTTCCACATTAATTTCTTGGGAATTTCATGTTACTTGAAACAGCCACACTCTGGGATTTTCAGCTAATGATACTAATTGCATCAAACGCATGAAATAATTTGTCAAACATTACCTTTTCATGTGATGAATAGCCCCAAGACTTTATATGTTCCTGTGAGCCATATAAATTATGAAGGAGAATGAAAAGGCTGTCATGAGGCTGACCTGTTTCTTCAGTGAAGTAGTCGATCAGAGATTGCTTTAGATTTCATCTTCAAGGAAAATATATACACAATATTTATCCAGTCATTAAATCTAGAAAGGTGATGACTCTTTGTCTACCTCTGTAATTGTTGCAATAGGTTCTGATTCATCAGGCTTTCATTTGAATAAGCATAATTTTAAGGACATCTTAGAATTTATTGTAAGTCCGTGCAAAGAACTGCAATATTCTTAAACTGACCAAGAAGAGTTTTTTCTTTTTTTTCTTTTTTTTTCTATTTAAATTTGATTGTTAATCATTTGATCAGCTATTTGGAAGCGTGAACCCAAATCTTTTGAGCACCTTTTCTATGTTTTGTTTTTCTCCTCCCGGAGTTTGTTCAGTTTCTGTCTCTCGGTATAGGAAGGGAAATAACTCCCCATTTGTTTCAGTTTTGAGCTGAAGACTTTTCTATAAACATTTGATGTTTTTTGTTTGTTTGTTTTTTTTTGTTTTTTTTTAATAACATTGTAGTTAAAATTGTCTGTCCATTTTGCTCGCATGGTTTTGCTCAGTGAATGACCTTGTATTCTTGTACTTTCATATAAATTGCAAGTCTTGCCTCTTCTAACATTTCATGCTAATATTTTGCTGGTCTTGAAAAATTAGAATAAATCAAAACTGATTAACATTGTTAAAAACAATTTTTAAAGCTCCCCCCCACCTCTCTGTCCATTAGTTTCTTATTCCAATGCAGGGATGACCAATGGGTGACACTTATCCCAGAAGTGGTAACTTGCATGCTTAATTATAGTGCAATCTGTTTACATTTGATTTGTACTCTGGAATTTTACATTATTTATTCTTTGTGGATATTTGCAGTTTTGTCATTTTTTTCAAAAAAAAAAAAAAGTCTTAAATTTCACTTACACATCCAATTAGCAAAAAAAGAAAAAAAGAAAAGCAGAAAATGTGATTGGAGTGAACAATGGATAAAATGTGTTCTTCAGGAAAAATAATGTGTATTGCTTCTACATGCAATATTTCTTCATATAACTTAAAACATTAAGAAGCGTCTTTTAGATATGAACTTGATGAAAGACGAAACTAGATTGCAACTGACTGATCAAAATTTGAAAGAATTCTCTCTTGCTTTCCATAACTAATTTGACTATAAATATTAAGTGTATTTCTTTGGTTTGGGTCTGGAGAGGGGTAAATAATTCCAATATTCAATACAATGCCCGCAAGTTACTAATTTCCATGATTTCTAGAGAAAATTTTGCACACCAAAATTAGCATGAATTATTTTTTTCTTTTCTGTATCTCTCTCTAGGTCCAACAGTTGCTGCCAGAAAAGAAGTCATCAGAAATAAGATTCGAGCTATTGGCAAAATGGCAAGAGTATTTACTGTTTTGAGGTAAGTGAATTTTAGCAGAATTTACTGAATAAATATCATTTTCTTTCTCCATTCAGTGCATTTCAGTTTTCATAAACAAATATTACTTTATTTACACTATTTATATTCGGACTATTGTCCTCATCTTTGTTGTTTTTTATGACAACATTTCAGCCATTGTGCCCACCGGTCTTCCTCAGGTGTATATTGATCTGTGTAGCCTGCAGTTGTGAATAGAAGACTCGAGGTGGATGGCCAGAAAATTGCCATGGTCTGTCAAACTTACTTCAAGGGCTTATCGGAAGAGAGCCAAGAATTGTGTGTACTAGATTCTCTGCGCAGTTGGGCAGAGAACTATAAAGGTGAAACAAGCCACACTTCTAAAAGTAAGGCTGGTAGAATATCATAGTGGTTGTGAGTTCAATCAATGGGTCAGGCAGTGTGTACTTTCTTCAAGGGAAACAGGCAAGCAGTAACATAATAGTACTAAATAAAAATAAGAACTAGACAAGATATCCCTAGACATGAGCAGTGGAAAGAGAACAATTTACCCCCATAGATTAAATAAAGGGTAAAGTTCAGAATTCTCTATAGATTACTGATATACAACTGAGGAAGGCCAAAGAATAAAATGGCTGAAATTTTGGGAAATGGGACAGGCTGTGAACATTTCAGCATCCTTCCTCAGAATAGATTTCTGAATCTACCTCCTATAAGGATTGTAATTACAAAGTGACTGTCATTAAAAAAAAAAAAAAAAAAAAAAGACTTGTTAAAAGCTGATAATCACTAAAATCGAAATGTCATTATTTCATTTTGGCTGTTGATAGTTAAAAACAATTGCTAGTTTACACTATATATACATTGTTCAGACTGTTTTCCTAATCTTTATTGCCATATTCACAATATTTCCCAATGTCTGCTGAATATTTTCTATATATATATATTATTTTTTAGGGAAGAGAGTGAAAGTGTTTTGCAATTGAAGGGACTCACCCCCAATGGTTTGTTACCTCTTGGTGCACTGTCAGGTGGCAAGGATACTTTAAGAAGTGGTGAGTTGACTGTTGTTACAGCATTTCGTTTATCTTGATAGATTTGCACCTGTTTTAATAAGTATTTAATGGTTTCTTTGAAACTACAAATCTCTCAGCTTTCACCAGACAGCCATAAAATGTTTGGAAAATCTCAACACCAGAAGTTGAAAATCAATTATATTCTTATTTTTGTGTTCTGTTTGTAAAATTAAAAGATTTATTACAACTGGTATGAATTCACATACTTCAAAGTAATAGTCGCATATGTTTACTTAATTTGGCACAAGACTACACTGTTGGGAGCACTCAGGATTGAATTTGTTATTAATAAACTAAAAGTTCATCTTGATGATTACACTACAATGTGTACATGTTACAGATTTTTATGATTGGTATGTTAGAGAGGTTTGTGGAAAAAAAAAGATAATTTAGTAAATGTAAAACATATCACCATTGCAGGAAGAATTGTCTGTTTAAATTTAAATGAATAGTTCTACTTTTTTATAAAAACATTTGTAATAGAATTCTAGTTGTCAGCAATTAATTAAAAATAAAATTTCAACATTAAGTAAATGCAGCATCTCTTCTTTGCAATGTTGGCTTTATATAGGGTTAATTAAAAAAAAAAAATCCTGTTAATTGAAATGTTCCTCTTGTAAATATTACTGAAATCTAATGTCAGTAAATAATAATTTTTATTAAGCAATGCCTGTTACAAAGCTTTTGCAATTAGAAGCGCATCTTAGCAATGAAATTTTCCCAATCACTGTCAGTGTAATCAATAAATCCTTAGTTAAGCAAATTTCAACTCTAGATGCACCTGTAATAAAGCATGTGTGTCTCTGTTAGTCTTCCAATGTCAATGGGTGTGTCTAGGCATAAAATTTGCCGTAAAAGATTTGGCTTCTACACTGGCTTTCAACATGTGATGCAATCATGTTACTTGCTACAGGTTTTTTTAACTTTTCTCAATATATAATGACATTTAGTACTACATGACCCACATAGGCAATAATGTGTTACATTATTTCAAGATATTTTACTTCAGTAAAAGATTTAATTTCAAATATTCTATAAATATTTCTGTCAATATCTTCCCTCAGATTTTATTATTAAAAAATAATTCTTTTAATCTAATGTATCTATATTTTAAGCCTATTTGAAGGAATTCCAAGGCTGTTATATGTGTAGTGATTTTGCAATCATGAGAAATAATTTTCCATGATTCCATAGATTAAAAAAAAAAAAAAAACACCCCACTGGCAAAAACTTAGAATTTGGTGTCTTTTCAACAACCTCCCACCATGAGAGCATGTGAAAATGGACCTCTCCCGGAATGGAGACTAAAGACAAATTTTACTCAAATATTACTTCCTCATACTAAGTATGGCTTTTTAATAACAGGCTTATCACAACAAAATATTTCACTCTTTCAACAAAACAATCCAAATATCAGAACATTTAACAGCTATTGAAACAACCAAACTTTCCAATAATAAATTGTTATATATATATTTATGTATAAATGTCTCATTTTGTTATGATGCATATTTATATATTTTACTAACCACAGGAAACAAACAGGATTCACAACATGTGAATAGGGTTGATGTCTACAGCACAAATTTTATAAACTTTATTTGTCATTTATTTTAGCATTAGCCAGGAATTCACTCCACTTAAAAAGAACTTATTCAAAATACTAAGTGTCATGTCTGTATCTACTAGATAATGAATGATTTATTTATTTTTATTTTTTTTTTTTTGTAATAGTATTTGATCTTTTAAGAACGTTTTTGTTGCATGTTACCTATATATGCATTAAGTAGGTGCTTCGTACAGAAACACCCACCTTTTTCTTTGTGTGTGTAATTCTACCTAATCAGATAATGTCTGAAATATTTAACCCAAAGTAACTGCTTGACTGAAATAGTGAAATCCTTTGGTATGAGATGATTTCTCACCAGTAAAACAAACTTACTTTTTATTAAATAATTTTATTAATATGTTACAAATCTCTACTGCAACCAAAATGCATTCTTCATTTTTGATTTTTAAGTTCATAAAAGCAAAAAAATGGATTTTATTAGTTTGATAGTTAATTCTTTGATGTTATATGACTGACCATTGTCATAAATAAAAGAAAAAAAGAAAAAAAAAAGGCTTTCAGAATGTTGATTGGATTTAGTTAAAATTTCTGTTATAAATTGTAAAATAACTACTTTGACCTTTTACTAAAAGTTTAGCAAAATTCTGTTTAAATGCTTAAGGAAAATAATAGATTCTGAAAAAAAATTTGCTTACTTTTTTAGAATCTTTATTACTTTCCCCACCCATTTTTTTATGTGACCTTTTTGTCATGGTCAACTTAGCTGGTAAATTTACAGTTTATTCAAACTATGACTAGATCAGCTTAATTCTTGTGATAATTACACTACATTCATTTTCATTAAACAATCAAATTTGTGTAAAACTAAAACAAAATGGTTTGTCTTTAAAAACCGTTTCACTGACAACTCTCAAAAAAAAAAAAACCTAATGATTTTTGAATAAATTGTTTTTTTTTTTTTAAGTTGATAATAATGAATAAGAATCCATTTATAAAGCAAATATCACTTTGCAATAAATGTAAAATGAGGCACAGCAGACATTTAAAATGATCATCCACTCTGTCTTCACATGAATCTTAAATCAGAAGTTTTTTTAAAAAAGAAAATCATCTAATATATTTGCTACATTTAAGAAATATTAACCAATTTCAAGTTCATTTTGTTTCTTCTCCTTACATGACAATTTATGGTACCTCTTATTCTTAATCAGCACTCTTTTTATATATATATATATATATATATATATATATATATATATAGAAATTATACAACATACAAGGCTTTTCAGTACTGTCAACCTGAATCATCGATCTATTTTTAACTAACTTGTTAAACTTTGGCTTAAATGCCTGTGGCCTTTTGTATCTTAAGGTGTTACAAGTTTTTAAACATAACATTTAAAAATGTAATACACTATAATCTTTTAATAAAACTTAAAAGGATATAAAGAATTTATAAAAACAGTTTTAAAAAATTTTTTTAAAAAAAATCAGATTTTTCATGTTAAAAAAAAAAAGTCTAAAGTGCAGCCAACTATGAGAAATTCAAATTCTAAACTTGGAAGAATATCAAATATTTAAAGCAACTTAATAAATGATCATTTTGTAAACAATACCCCTCCCCACAAAAAAATCCTGTTAAATGAAGTGTTAAAAAAAAAAATCTATTTTAGATTTAAAGATTATTTGAATGAGATTTCTTTAATAAATATTGTATGTATAGAACTGGATTCACTTGAATTCAGAATTTTATAAAAATTTTGTTCTTTTGAAACAAATCCCTAAAATCTGATTTGATTATTTTCCATGAAGGAAGTAATCATTCCACTCTGATGTGACAATTCTGCCAATTCCATTTACTAATAATCTCTTTACAATCAGAGATGACATGACTTTCAAGAAACAGTCTTACATTTCCACTTTTTTTTTTTTTTTTTTTTTAATCCATTGGAAAGAATATTTACTGAAATTTCTTTATTTGTACATCTACTCCATGATTTTGATCAGCACCATTTTGTCCACATATGTTTCAAAGTCTAATTTTGTTCAGGCCATAACTTTTACATTACAACAAGACTCTACCTGGTGTTAAATCCTCAAACTGAAACTTCTTAGTGACAGTGAAAGAGGGTTGGGACAAAGCAAACATTTTAATTGTCACTTGTACCCAATATCTTTGAAATCCTTTTTATCTATCTCTTCAAGAAAGATTTTTGCTTCAAGAAAACACTTAGCCATTAAATGAATGACCTTTTTCTTTTTTGACAACAGCTGCTATTCTGTTGCTGCAGATTAACATCTGTTTTTACAGGTAAGGGCTGCAATAGCTGTTTACCTCAAACTTCCAATGAGAGTAACTGCATGATAATCCTTCAAACCAGTGCAGCACTGCACAATGCATCTGTTGAATTTGAAACAGCTGAGATGCTTTGTTGACAAATATCTGAAACTTCACATTTTCTTAATTCTGGTCATTCTTACAAATTCTACTCACCATATTTAAAACATTCACTCCCCCATGATTACAAAGAACTCGATTTTTTTTCAATTTCCAAATTTTCTCAGAGTTTTTGCCAATAACTTCTGTTGTTACTTGCTAGTATGATGTACCTGAATGTCCTTTACTCCCAATGTCAGGGCACTATGGTTTACCTCAACAAACTGAACATTAACAACAAAATAGTGATTCTGTAACCTGTGAATGAATCTGTCTTAAAGACAAAGCATCCCTTCAGACGATTTACAAATCCTTCATATTTGGCCTCTTCAACTATCAACCTTTTTATTCTCTTTCCAGTGAAACTCCAAATTATTATCTCGGCTTCATCTCATAAAGTTTTACATTTAAACTGTAATAGGTTTCTAATCTCAAAACAAATAAAACCCCTTATGGGGGCTGATTTCTTGCCCCTTCACCCCCAACTTTTTGTGACTTCTGGATTTCTTTTTCAGGCTTTTGTTTTAGAATCATTTCTTTAACTGTTTCTAAGAATTCCTTGACTCTGACAAACTTGTCATAAAAGTCATCTTCCCTAGCAAGACCGCCATTAATTTTTTTTTTTTTTTTTTTTTTTTTTCCCCGCCTTTCTTTCTTGCATTTTTTTTTTTTTTTTTTTTTTTTTCTTTTTTTTCAGCTTTACAAAAATTGGTAAATATTCATGCCACAAAAATTAAAAGTAAATTAAATTCCAACACACCATTCTCTTTAATTTAAAAAGAAAATTTGGGGGGAGCGTTTCCTTGGCTTCTGGTGGTTGAGACGCTTCTTACAGGTGGTCTGTGTTTTTCTTTTTAACACTTTTATGTTACCATTTTTACATGTTTTTTTTATTCATTCAGCGATCGATAATCCGAACGAGGAACCAGCTATCAAAGGTTAGTTTTGCATTAAGGATTCTGTAGTTGAGAGTCACTGGCATGTGCACGACAGTCGTAGGTAGCTGTTTGTTTATCAGGGGAGAGAGCAGCTACAAAATCATTTCTTAAACAATAGTCTAACTATTTAATCTTAATTTTGACTGGGTGAGGCTTTATCTTTTGGTCAATCTTGCTAGCTACCATAAGAACCAGCTCGAGACAAAATTTCCAAATCCATAAAATGAAAGACATTCAAACACTTAACACGTTGCCCTTGTTAGAGCCGTAATCACATCAGATCTCACACACACACACACACACACCTACCTCCAGTTGGCCTTCATTCCACTGTTTACTTATCAGTCAGTGAATCAAATTATTTCCTTCATTCTTATTTTTCCATTCACCCCTCCCCCCCCCCTCACTTGTATTCACTATAACTCACTCTTCTCACTCACCTTCTCCTTATGCTAGCATGTGTAGCTCACTAAAATCAGGGGAAAAAATGGTTACATCACTACCAAAGTAGTACCGTAGCCACTTGAAAAGAAGCTTTTTGATTTGTTGAAAAGCTTTATATCTTAAATGATTTTTAATAGATGTGTATAGGGGTTTTTTTTTATTTGCTAATATTCTTCCTCACTAAAATTCTTTCAAACATGGTTAGCAGTCAGTAATTCACAAACTGCCAATGTTAGTTTTAAGTTCTTAAAGTGCTTCAGCTCTTTTTTTTTTTTCTTTTTTCTTTTTTTTTTAATAAAATTCTGCTGAAAATGTAAATATGACATGTCCGTTTCTAGCATGTAACAATTTTTATTTTTAAATAGAATTTATTTTATCATAGAAAACAAACTTCATTAAGTCATGCAATATATCTTCCTCTCCCCCTCCACCTGGGATGTGATGGTGGCGTAATGGAAATGAATGAGGCTTAAGAAAGCCAAGCTTGAATTCCAGTTTGATTTGCTGAATTCACTTAAGTGCAAATACTTTTAGGGAAAGGCATGAATTTATCTCTTCTCCCTCTAGCTGTGGGTTAAATAGTAACTTTTATGTGGAAAACTTGTTAGCTTCAAAAAAAAAATGTTAATACAATATTCACTTGCAAAAAAAATTCTTTTTTATAATCTAAAATTAATCGATCAGTCAACCCCTCTCTTTGCTAGTTCCTGATGACATCCTTGCTTTTAAAATTATGAAAAACAAACAAGTTTTTCTCACAGAAAGAAATATTTTATTATTTTAAATTATAGTTCAGCCTTTTCATTTCATGGAAGATAATCATCAAATATCTAAAGTGTTTTATTTCCAATTTCCATTGTTATCATTTAGGTTTTTTATTTATTCTCAACACGTTTTACAATATTGTTGAGACTAATCAGATTTTTAGTTATTACTTTCTGAAATTATATTTACTTTGTCTAGAATTTTTGTATTATAAATTTTAGAAAATATTGCAAAATGGCATTTATTTCTGATAAAATTTCAAAAGTATTTGTACTAATTTATTTCTCATATTTTATAAAAATAAATGCTTAAAATGTATTTCATTGATTCAAAATTGTTCTAATAGTTTTACTAACATCTGAAAGATAATTGCTACTAGCCAAAAAATATAAATGCAAATTTGATCTTTGTTCTCAAGTTAAACTCTTTTTTTTTCTTTTTTTTTTTTCTTTTTTTCTTTTTTCTTTTCTTTTTTTTTGTCTCTGTTCAAATTCAAGATATTAAAATGGGAAAACTTTTTTGATGATGAATTCAATTGAGAAACATCAAAAAAGCTATTTCTGCAAAATAATTTCTGTCAATGTGTTGCAAAGATCTATTCATTGTCAGTGATATTGTTAAAATCAACACAGATGTTTAGATCAAATCTTTATAGAATCTAATAACTTTGATCTGAATAAATTGGTGCAAAGAATATAAGGATAAGTTCATCCCATTCTTGCCAGCACAAGGATGGACTTGTTTACTTAAAAATTGCAGGATTTTTTTTATACTAAATCAAAATCCTGTTTCTATTCAGTGGGTTTTAATTTGCTGCTGACAAAATCTCTGCTCAATCCAAGGTGACAGGGATTTGAGGATTCCTGAAGCACATATGTGCCAAGAACCTTCCCCCCTCCCCTCACCTCTCTCAAGATATATCATGTTCGTCAGTGTCATGCAGAAATGTAAAACCTCCATTACTTATTGCCTGTTGTTCCCTATCATCTAAACTTTGGTAGATAATCTATTGGGTAAAATCTCTGGTGTTGATTTAGGAATACTGTACTTTTTATTTCTATCTAGAAACTTGAGGAAACGTAAATCATCAGGGTTACTTTGTCAAAATACAGAAAAGTACGGCTAGCCATTATCTTTCTTTTCCTCTTGTGTGTGTATATATATATATATATATATATATATATATATATATATATATATATTCCATTGAATAATTTAGACATGTCTTGCCTACTTATTTTCAATTGGATCCTTTAATATCCATGTACAAGCTTTTTTGGGTGTCGTTATTGAAGGACAAGAAAAATTACCATGTTGATACATATTATTTACTTATTCCAAGTACTACACAGCAATTTTTCTCTTGTCCTTCAATAACGACACCCAAAAGCTTGTACATGGATATTAAAGGATCTAATTGAAAATAAGTAGGCAAGACTTGTCTAAATTATTCAATGAAAACATGCCATATATATATATATATATATATATATATATATATATATATATATATATATATATATATATATATATATATACACATACATACACAATCTTCTATATAATGTCTCATGATATATTTAAACACTATATTCTCTCTCTCTCTCTCTCTCACTCACACTCACACACACACACACACACACACACACACACACACACACACACTGATAAATTTAAATTACTTAAAAATATATGCTCAACTTTGTCATAAAAATTTATGGAAAAATGTTTAAGTTTCTTTTTTAAAAGAAAATCCTGGGGCCATTTTGTAAAAACCAAATTTTGATTTATACAATGATTTCCCTGGAATGTATTTAACATTTTCAAATATGGTGGTTAGGGGCGGGCCAATGTTAACTAGAATATTAAATGCTGCGGAAGTGCACACGATGCTTACTTCTTGACAAAATCAGAGTCTGGCTTCATTAAAAATTCAGGAGGACATCATATGATCTCAAAATCCTCCATTTTTTTTTTTTTTTTTTTTTCTTCTCTCCCTTAAACTTATTGGAGCTGTTCTACACTCAGATCAACACTTGGACACACATTGTATTAATATATTAACATAAATTAAACTCCACACTATAGACATGTTCAAATGTTTGTGAGTCTCTAACTACACAATAAAGGCCCACTCCAGACGTCTCTACTAGCCCCTGTGGAACTTTCAGTCAGCAGTTTTTATTATCTACTCTATTAAGATTCCTTTTTCTTTTTTCTTTTTTTTTCCTCTTTGAAGAACTTCATATCTTGCTAAAGTCTCTCTCACACACACACACACACACACACACACACACACACACACCATCCATTTTCCCTGCCAACCCTCTGCATCCCCACCCAATGCAACAAATCCCATACACCCTATTTCTGATCGTCAAACCTTTCAAACACCACCAGTCAGCCTCTACTCTGATTTTTCTTCATAGAAGTTTTCTCCTCGTGTGCTCCTCCACCAATGTGTCTCCCTGTTGGTCATTGTTAGTGTGTTCTGCCAGGTTATTGTTGCAGCACGTCTTGTCAACTGAAGTTGGGGGTGGGGGGGATTCTTTTACATGGACTCCGCAGACTGGTCAAAGATTTGCTACAAAAATGCCATCGATGATAACAATATTCCTGTGTGCTTCATAGAGAAATTACGCTCCCAATTCACCCTACCACCACCACCACAACCACCACATACCTTTCCTACCTGAAACCACTTCCATACCTTGTTGATACCTCCAGCCCTGATTCCCCCACCCCCGTGACCCCCCTCCCCTACCAAAGATGGCCATTCAACTGCTTCCTAGTGCAATGCTTGCGTCTTGTGTGATGAATGTTGGTTCACATGTCTTTTGCTATTCGTTTCACTGACTGCAAGGTTAGGGTTAACAACAATTTGGAGTTGATTGTTGAGATTTTCACACAAAAGAAATTTATTCTTATTTTTTTTTTTTTTTTTTTCAAAGGTGCCTTAAAAACACATTTGTTACTGTTTTTGTATTATTTTTTTTTCTTTTTTACTCCATGTAATAGAAGACACAGAATTTGACTACAACTTGATCTTTTTCAATGAGGTACATTTGTAAATGCAGAAACAGATCCTGATTGTTTAGTAATGTCATACACATAATACCTAAAATGTATTAGACTGTATAGATGTGAACAATCTGCATGTTCTAAAGAATTTTTTTTTTTAATTATGGAAATGCTTAGCAGTTGGGAACATTCTTGTATACATTATTTGAAGTGGTTCAGGTTCAAGACCTGCTGCTGACAAGTTCTGTTTTGCTATCTTAGCATTTACAGATGTACAAAATTGAAGCAGTCAAGATGAAGTAAAGTAATTATTTTTCTATGATTAATGTTGTCATTTTTTGTACAAATTCCCTTTTTTTATTTTCAGTTTTTTTGTTTTGTTTTTTTTTAATTTTCTGGTTTTATTTGCCCTTATCTCATCTTAGTTTTTTTCCCAAGTTATTGAAATCCCACTTTTTTTTTTTTTTTTTTTTTGACAAAAGTGCAAGTTTTGATCGGGTATTATAACATGAAAGCTAACTCTAGGAGTGTTATTGTTTATCATCTTTGTAAATGCTTCTTCTAGATACACCCTATGATTAAAGTTTCAATGATCTCCAAAAAAGTCAATGTATCCCTAAAATGAGCCATTTTCTTCATTCCCTTTACAATTAATCTTTATAGCAATGTTTATGAGAAAATGGTTTGAAAAACTTTGGATAGTTTTGTTGTTGTTTTGGGTTTTTTTTTTTTTTTTTCCAATTATTTCCTGTTGCATTTGTTTTTTGTTT